ACGCGAACGCGAAACCACGACAACCCAGCAGCAACTAAAATCACGAATCGCGCGCGCACGCGGCAACTAACGCGCGCGCCCTTTCTGCGCAAGGCAGCTAGCTGCTGACATGTGATGCTCCGCTCCTGTCGCGTGCGTCTGGGCGACTTGCGAAGATGCAAGACATCTCTCGCACGAGAACGTCCAAGATGAAATGGATCACGTGAAGCCAAAGGGCCTCCGCCTCGACAGTCTTGAGTCAAGAGTAGGTACGGTCATGAGTGGCGCTTCCTCGGCGGTTTTCAGGTTTTGAATTCTCAATGACTGAATCCTTGACTACACGCTCACTCACCAGACCATTGTCTTGGTCTAATTGTGACTGCTGAGCAACAATCCTCCCTCAAGACCACAGACCACCCTGAAGAGCAAGCTTGATGAGCTGATGCTGGGGTTCGGTCTTCAGCCACGCGGCTCGATCGATGAAAGTGTCCAAGGACAGTTCTACAGCAGTTTCAGTTGCCCAAGGACTGAATGGATTGCTTTTTGCAGCAGCTTTTCCATGCTCGACAAGCATAGTCAGTTATTTCAGGCCATGCTTGGTGGATACATCGTGAAGGACCCAATGGCCACGAAGCGTACATTCCTTCTGCGGCAAGTACTGGAAACTTAGAGTGGGCTCAACACAGTCACATCGCCTTCAATCTCTCCTTGGCCGGTCCAGAAAGGGGCAAGAATAGGCAGATAGACCTCAATACAGCCTTTGAGTTGGAAGTCAATGATCACTCAAGACTGACTTGTGGGCCAGATTTGCGAACGTCACATTAGTCTTGCACTCGCCCTCGTCCTGCGCTGTACGTCTTCCTTCTTTCCGCCTGCGCCCTACTCGGCTGCGAGCGTGATCTGAGCAATGCTGATGTGCCTCAGATGTGCTGAAAGGGTCCCATGAGGTCTATAAAAAACGACGAGAAAGCTCTTCTCGACTTCCTAGCCCCTTAGCTCGACGGAGTATCCTCGTTGCAGCACCTCACTCACCACTGCCTTTTTCTCTCTGACCTTTGTTTTAATCGGCTCTATATTAGGCCGCTTGATTCAGGACGTGCGCGTGGCATGGGCATCGTTTCCTATACATATCAGTCACAGTGTATTGCGCGAAGGTGCTCATGACCAGCACTGCAACAGCGAACTGTGCTATGTTGCCCAGAACGCCCTCAGCAACGCGAGGATCTGTCCACACGACCCTGTGTTCGACACACGTACATCTCGTGCGCGCGAGACCCATAGTCTCCCATTCCAAGCAACTTGAGCGGTTCGATGCCTGATGTCGCTCGAGAATGTTCGGGCGTGAGCTTTCCTTCAACAGAATAGCAAAGACAGCCAGACAGGGCTCTCATTGAGACTTTCGATGAGCCGTGTTCGGCTTTTGCTGCGGCTCATGACGTCCGACAAGCTTGACAACGTGGCCACTGCAACAGTGAGGAATCGTGTGCGGTCCAAAAAGCGGGGCACGCAGCCGATCCGAGCGCCCGTCAGGATGCTCTACGCGAACAGGACCTTTCGCGGCGGACTTGAATCTTGCACCTGTGGATCAGCAAGCATGCGACTCTGTTCGCTTGCCCAGAGTGATGCCAATGCCAAGATTGCGGGGTTTGCGAGGGACAAAGCCTTCTTGCAGTGGGGCACTAGCATCCCCCAAGACAACAGACAGGGGAAATGCCTTCCGCTGACGTGGTGCAACAAAGTCATCTTGGTCTGTTTGGAGGTTAACAAACAGCGAATTCATGCTCCGTTCCCAAGCGGACGAGCCAGAGAAATC